ATTAAAAACGTATACTGCACAATCAAATTTAAGCGAAAAACTCAAATTAAGGAAAACATGGTTGTGTTAGTTAATTATATAAATTTACTAGTTAGATAATGTTTTTTTACAATTGCCAACAACCTTCAAGCTTCAAACATTTGAAGGTGGTTTACATTTTCTGTAAAAGGTGTTCTTTTTCCTTCTTCAACTTACCAAGGTGGCATTTAATAAGTTAATTAAGATGGATGTGTGACTAGCCTACAATTCGGAATTCTGCGAATAACTTGCGCGCGTAGTTTAACTTGGAAAACAATGTTTCAGTATTAAAGAGCATTTCTGCGTAAACTTTATGTAAGCAAACGTAATTACTTATCGTCTTATTATAAGCTTAACTAAACGAAGTTGAATTTTCTAGTTGGATTACTTCGTTAGTACGCGAGAGAGGCTCTATCGTCCTGTTTATCCCTTTTAAATAGCGCTTGTGTACTTACTCAAACGTCTCGACAAATATTATTCAAAGACGTTAGTTCGTAAATAAAATTTGCGATGGATCCTTATATATACGCGAAGTTCGAGCCGGATTATTTTAATCACGTCGTCGTCGCCGGGAACGGAACGCGATGACGTATAGCTCGTCATACTAAGAAAATGAACAAGTAAAGCGTGATGAAAATCTCACGGGCCCCTTGGGAATTTTCGAAAACTTTGAATTCTCCTCACGGCAATGTCTGTCGCAAGACTCGCATAATGAAAACTAAATGACCCATCGGGCGCGCGTCGGGTTTGTGCGGTCCTTGGATCCTATTACTTCAATTTCAGTTTTGAATCCGGGGATCGTTTATCTTATTTCTCGATCTTTCAGGGTGTTAATGCTTCTCGACAATGGAAACTTATATATTATTCTTCTGTGTCGCAGTTGGCCAAATTTCATTCTATGATTCTAACAACTTAATGCATGGCTTTCTACAGGCAGGAATGATGAAAGTTAGTGGCCGAATAGTTAGATTTAGAGATGGCACAAGCAGACGGGCCTAATAACGTCTATTATTGTTGATTTAAATTAACCTAGTTGAAACTTCGTTTCTGTTGGTGTTTGACTGTTGCTACAATTAATTGGGACATAGGTCAACATTTTGGGGCCCATGAGCTGCCTCAAGTGCTCAGTCCTTCTTAATCGCACACGATCCATGTTAATTTTACACTTAAGTTCGTTCGATAATGGGGACAGTACGCTACCGTTCTGATTTTAAGATCTACTACTCAACAGTGGACTTTCTACTGTGCAGGAATTGCTGGGAAACGTTTTCATGTATTTTTTGCTGCTTTTAATCTAGTCGTGTCATGAATATACGCTTTAGGCGAAAAGCTGACACCGGCAATTCTCACAAAAATCTTGAACGGGCTCCCGTTACAGCTTTTTAAGACATTTTTTACAATTTTCATTAGGATTTTCTTAGAGTTCCCTTAGAATCTTAGAATTTCCACGGTTTTCGTAGAATCATCTTAGCATAACTTTGGAATTTTCCAATATTCTTTTCTTACGTTTCTTAAAAACCTCTTAGAACCTTCTGGAAATTTGTGTAGGATCTTTAGAACTTGTAGAATCTACAGAACGATCAAAACTATCATAATTAATAATAATTAATTATTATAAATAAAGTTTATTCGAAGGTGGTAACAAACGAAAAGTTTGACTTTTTTGTTTTTGGAATGCAAATGGGAAATAGGAATAGGAAAATGAAAATAATTTAAATGGCACCTTTAGAAACCAATTTCGAAAAAAAATTCAAAGGGCTGTAAATTTTGAACTAGTAGCCCAATCTTGGAACTGTTTGAAATTATGGATTCTACAGGCACCATTCTATAAGGAAATTTTTTCCGGGTCGATCTGAGACAATTTGTTTTTCGGGCCTCAAAAAAAGGCAGTGTATAACCTTCCTTTTCTACCAAAACTCGACTACACCAAAATTTCTCAGGAAAACACTTTTTCTTATTAATTTGGGTGCGTAGAATCCAAATCAATTCGTACTTTTTCGATCAGACTTCTCAATCAAGAGTTAAGACTATAGAAACCAATTTCGAAAAAAAATTCAAAGGGCTGTAACTTTTGAACTAGTAGCCCAATCTTGAAACTGTTTGAAATTATGGATTCTACAGGCCACATTCTATAAGAAAATTTTTTTCCGGGTCGATCTGAGACAATTTTTTTTTCGGGCTCAAAAAAAGGCAGTGTATAAACCTTCCTTTTTTACCAAAAATCGACTGCACCAAAATTTCTCGGGAAAACACTTTTTCTTATTAATTTTGGTGCGTAGAATCCAAATCAATTCGTACTTTTTCGATCAGACTTCTCAATCAAAAGTTATAGACTAGAAACCAATTTCGAAAAAAAATTCAAAGGGCTGTAACTTTTGAACTAGTAGCCCAATCTTGGAACTGTTTGAAATTATGGTTTCTACAGGCACCATTCTATAAGGAATTTTTACGGGTCGATCTGAGACAATTTGTTTTTCGGGCCTCAAAAAAAGGCGGTGTATAACCTTCCTTTTCTACCAAAAATCGACTACACCAAAATTTCTTGGGAAAACACTTTCCCTTATTAATTTGGGTGCATAGAATCCAAATCAATTCGTACTCTTTCGATCAGACTTCTCAATCAAAAGTTACAGACCAGAAACCAATTCGAAAAAAAATTCAAAGGGCTGTAACTTTTGAACTAGTAGCTCAATTTTGGAACTATTTGATATTATGTATTCTACAGGCCACATTCTATAAGAACATTTTTTTCCGGGTCGTTCTGAGACAAATTTTTTTTCGGGGCTCAAAAAAAAAGCAGTGTATAACCTTCCTTTTTTTACCAAAAATCGACGACACCAAAATTTCTCGGGAAAACACTTTTTCTTATTAATTTTGGTGCGTAGAATCCAAATCAATTCGTACTTTTTCGATCAGACTTCTCAATCAAAAGTTATAGACTAGAGACTAGTGAATGTAATTTATGTAACTTACCATTTTTTTTTAAAAACCGTAATTTTACAGTAAAATTACCAGTAAGTTATGTTTTTTATGTAATTTACAAATATTTTTGTAAAATTTCCTGTCATTTATGTTTTTTATGTTTTTTTTTCAATATTGTATAAACCTTTTTGAATTTTGTGAGTGTTTGAAAACAAAAACACTTGTTAAATTATATATTTTGGTGTATTAAATAAAATACCCAAGCAGTAGGTATTTCGCCATCGCGCCTCGTTTGGAGGAAGAAGTTCCAGATCGCGAATTAGAGGCTGTATCATCTTCATTAAACCAAACTAAATTCAACGGTGAATCGTTTACGTTGGTAGTACAGTTGATGGTCTGTGGTAGAACCGATCAAAATGTATCAAATAGGTATTACATTTATGTAATTTACAAAAATTACGGTTTTTTAAATTAAAAACGTAAGTTACGTAAGTTTTATAAAAGAGATAAATTACATAAAAAAACCGGCCTCTTGTAAGTTACGCGTAATATAACAGTTTTTTATGTAACTTACAAATCGTTATTTTACAATCCACGTCACTACCTTCTAGTGTACCCTCTGCAAAAGAGGCTTTTCTTTATAAAGTGATTGTATAAGGAGCACGTGAGCGTCATTCACCTCCTCAACTGTCGTTTAATATAATTCATTTATTTTGTATTTGTCTTGGTTAACCAGGCCATCCAAATTTTGGTTTTGTGAGTATTTTTGCAAAGAGAATGTTATGACTTTTAAAATAATGTGTCCCTCGATTGGATTTTAAAATAGAGGTAGCTGAAGTGTGGGGGGTAAATACCAAAGCTTCCACTGAATTTCCCCCTAGCTATCTAAAAGGAGGTGTTTTTCCAATTTTTGTTATTTTATCAAAATTATAAATTACAATCGGTGGTTGATTTTGGTTTTTTTCGAAGAGTCGCAGAGGAAAGTTATACTTTCTAGAAACCAATTCATTGCGTGTAAAAGTTATGGAAGTTTTACTTTCAGGAACAGCAATCTCGGAAAAATCGTGCTTCCACCCCATTCCCATTCACACAGCAAAATTTACAGTCCTCTAGGACAGTTCGTCTGAAAGTAGTTCAAAAGTGGATCCGGACGGACAGACAGATGGACAAAACGCAAACAATAGCAAATTTTTTTAATTTAAAAAAAACACTAAAACTAGTCAGTATTCAATCTTGAAAAATAGTGCCATCAATTTCTGAAACTTTGAACATTAAAATATTTTCTGGAGTGCACTCCGTCGTTCGTATTTGGGACGTTCCCGAAATTTCATTATCTTAATGGAATATAAAGCAATTGTTTTCTGGATCTTCGCCTTTAAATTCATTCGAATAATTTTGAGAAGTTGATTTGTTGCATGTAGCGAGCAGAAAAACACGCTTTTCGTGACTGGCATTGGCAAGTTGCTCCTGAAAATATACCTATAAATCGGCAGCGATTGCCGACCAAGAAGCACAATAGAAATCAAACACGCACATTTCAATGCTACAACACGGAACTTGAAATTTAAATTGCATTCGCGTAGCACAAACTGCGACATTAATCAAAAATAATATTTCAATATGAAAGGGACGATCATCAATTATTTAGAATTGTTAACATATTCAGGCCTTTGATTTCATGTATGACGTGACTTTTTTAATTTGGTTTACATTCGCGTGTTTGTTACGTGCACCACCTTAATTGTACGTTGTCAACTCGAAGTCGCACGTGATTTAAAAGGGAATGTGTACTAAAAACCTTCTAAAAGACATCGGGGAGTTTTATTAAAATATTATAAGCTTTTCCAAAAAGGTACGGCAAAGTTTGGTACTTTCTCTAAAAGCTCATTTATTTTCTTACATGTACTGTCAGTTTGGATAAACTCGCGAGAAGTTCAAAAAACTTATCAGATGAAATAGCAACAGCGGTTTATAAGGGAGGGCGTTATTCAGAAACTTTTCTTATCATATTATACGAAAAACTTTACGAAATGCTAATATAATAATTCTCTTTGTTTCAGTATTATGTGCTGTACAATCAAGCGGAGGAGCGTCAGGAAATTCGTTAACCGATAGCACAAATTATAGTAGAGGCCCTTACTTTGATACAAACGCGTCCAAGAACGTCACAGCCTTATTAGGCAAAACAGCTTATCTTAATTGTCGAGTAAAAAATTTAGCGAACAGAACGGTAAGTGCACCAATTTCTATTTAAGAAAGTTACTCCATTCGCTAGAAAACGCGTTATCGCCGGCCCGAAAACTTCGCTCGCGAGAAACTTTTCGAGGCGGCTTATTTACGGAAAGAATTTTTGATTTGCTATTATCTTGTGACCCAATTTACGTATTTTCTAATCTCACTAATTGCGCACCTTTCGCAGGTTTAAGCTTTTAACGTGAAAGTTTTTTTGGAAGAGAGCTTTTAAAAGTAAGTTCGATTGTTAACACGCTCTTGAACATTTTTCGCGAGCGTTCCTTGCGGGAAATTAGTACAAGTAAATTTAGCACGGGCTCTTTTTATCAATTTCCACGTTCATATTCATGGAACTTTTTAATCAAGGTTCCGGAGGTCCTTTTTTAATAGATCTAACTTCACGTATAGTCGCCCATTGTGCTAAAAGTGAACTTTTTACTTACATAACAAAAAGGGGTTGAGGACGCCTTTTTAGTTTATTCCGATGTCAAACTTCCACTCACGTTCGTATTTTTTTTCTAATTGAACTGCTGAATTAGTGGAGAATCGCCTCCTTTCCCTTTTTTACTACTTCCCAGGTTAATAGACAATTACGATTCCAACGTGATATTGATACAAATATATTAAACCTCAGTCCACAATCTACGAAGCTCTGGATAGGACACATAGGAAATTATTTTGTAAATTACAGGTGTAACTGGGAATTAGTTTATAATTTACAGTTGTAATTAGGAATTACACTAATTTACTGGGAATTACATTAATTTACAGTTGTAACTGGGAATTATCCTTGACAGTTACAATGGTAAATTAGTTTAATTCCCAGTAAATTAGTGTAATTCCTAATTACAACTGTAAATTATAAACTAATTCCCAGTTACAACTGTAAATTAGTATAGTTCCCAGTTCCAACTGTAATTTACAAAATAATTTCCTATGTGCCCTATCCAGAGCTTCGTAATAATCCAAGTCTGGTACACGTTTTTTTCTTAATATTATCTTGATTAAGAATAACAACGAAATTCTGGACAATAAGGAAATGTGTATACTACGTTTCTAGAAGGAAGTAAACTGAAACGCTAGTAAAAACAATATTAAGCACATTATTGGCAAAGTTGACGTGCATACTAACATAATTAACATAGGTTAAGGAAGAAAATTTGTGATATACTATGCGGTCATGTATTTGGTGGTGATTGGTTCGTTGGGTGTTAGGATTTACGGTTCTTACGCTACATTTGGTCCTTCGAGCCTTTAAATGAACTGGTACCGCGCAACGTTTGTGTTCCGGTCCCAGTAAGTGCTGCATTTATTAATTGAAACCTTCAACGAATGGGTGTCGCGTTACCACAACGGTTGGACGATGTCATGAAACGAAAAAGGAGTAAATTAGAAGCGCAGTGGGCTACCTTCAGCCAACGCCACTCACAGATTATGGCCCTGCCACAAGAACGAGAAGGTGACTACTTCGCCAGGAAGTTCTATAAACAAACCTATGAATTCATCATGAACAACCGTTAATACCTCAACTCCATAGCGGTAACGACACGACAGTCTGGATCACACGCACCCACAATTTCGTAAACAGCAAATAAGTGACCTCGCGACATGACGTGGACGTGGAAGTAGGTAGGGTTTTTCGGTTCGTCTTTGGTAAATTGCGGGCTTTACCCAGGGTTTTAATGCAGACTAAGCAGCGGCCCCTAATCTGCCCTCGAGGCCCATCCGACTGTTTGGCCCCATATAGAACAGATCAAAGGGTTTATTAAATCAGTGAATTTAATCTTGAATAGCCAACTAAAAGTCCTTCTCGGGCAATATTAAGGGTTTTGGAAGGATGTACCGATTTTTCTGGTCTTCAAAATTTGGTTTCTTTTGCTCCTCTTCACATTACTAATCGTAGTCGCTTTTTCTTCGTTCTATCACCGAAAAATCGTTTTGCTGCCAAAAAGGGCATTTGCTCAACACTTATCACATCTCGACAGTACAACACAGTGGCGTATGTACGTCATTTGACTCCCTCATAATAATTAATTTGGAACTTGTGTTAATGATGATAATAATAATATAATGCTTCAATTCTTACTTTCACTTTATTATAGAGAATTGTTGCAATCATTTTCGCTTATTATAAAAGTACCAAACCAAAGGTCTACGTAAAACCAAACTCTTTAGTATACTCTGTTTCATTGTTGACCAATTTACTCCTCATATAACTGAGTGCAATTAGCACTATTTTATAGGTTTTAGAAAGATCTTACTGAAGAGCTGGGAACTAGCTTGGTCAAATCAAACAATAAAATAAAAGGTAAAAGAAGATACCATATCAGACGCAGTCTAAAAACTAATCTTTAGAGCGGGATCTGTAGTAATAAAGTATGGAAAGTGTTGCTTTTATCACAATTTTTACTATGCGTTTCCATGGCGTTTCGTGTTGACTATGAACAATAGCTCAATTTTTGAGGAACAGTAATAAAAATACAAATACGTGCTTATAATAACTATGTAGAAGGGGGGAGCTGCTGAGATGACGATTCACCCGACTTTTGCAATACAAAATTGTCACATTTCGGTTAATTATATAATATTAGTGTCTGGTGGTATGGCTTCAATTCTTCTTTGGTCTTCTTTTGGTACGCTAAGCCAGTTTGGCGTATTGGGAGGGCTGTCACGACATTAGTTCGGAGCTTTGATTATAAAATACATCGATTTACGGTTCTTATGGACATGTCGAATCAGTAATTTTTAGTTAGTGGACATGAACACCAGGCGGCCATAACCATGAACTCGTATATCGTGCTTTTTTGTACAGAAATCTACTCGCTAGATGAAATAAACTAACGCTTTGTAGTTACGCTATTTGCATATACAGGCATCTGTTGTAAGTTGGTTTGCATCATTGGTAGTTGATACACGTACCTACATACGTCATGTTCAAAGTCGTAAATAACGAAATCTGAGACATCGTTTATTTCTTTCATTTGGGTTAGATATTTATAACAACTGATTTCAATGGCATTTCTTTATATTTCTCGGCTAATTCATTTCCAGCGAAGTTGTAAATTGGTTTTAGCTTGAAAAATTCTGGTGAGTAGGGGCACTAATCCAGTCATATTTCCTAGTAGGTATGGCATCACTTTTTAGTTTATTTTTGGAGGTATTGGTGAAACAGTCGTCTTCAAAATGGCGAGAACATAATTTCTTGGACGCAATCTCGTTCTGCATCGATGGTACCAAGCTGGCATTGCCTGATAATGAAAGTGGGAAATTAGCCATAATGTCCATTATGTTATGTAGCAGTGACAGATCTAGAAGCATTTGTGCCGTGCATTCTAAGCCTATGTTTAAGTGCAAAAAATCCCTTTTAATCCTTTTAGATCCGCCCTCGTGTACCTTTATAAATGAGGTACCTAAAATATTCAAAATAGAGGTACCAATTTCCAGACAGCTAGCTATTTTATATAATGCATTTTCTGATTATTACAAAAACATATAATTAATTTTGTCACCAATTTGAATGAAAGAACAAAGAAGGCAAAAGAATGAAAACTGTCTGATATCTTGATAAACATATATCCAATTAAAACAATGTGCTTGATACCGCATTCTGATATCTTTAGAAACTTTTTCGTATCTGTGATTATTGTTCAGAAAAAATAAATGAAAACAATGTTCGGTACAGGTAGCTAAATGAAAGTAAAATCTTTAAAATGGGTCAGTAGACCCTCGGTTTATTTAGATACCTACTTAATTCTTTGTTTTGCATTAGTTTTAAATTTAGGATGTTCTACCATTACTTAACGATTTGTATAACAAAAGAGATTTCAGTAAAGGCGTCGAGTTTTATTTTTGTCGTACTTTTACTAAAACAAACTAACATAAAGAGCGATTATTTTAACAAAAATTTAGTTAAAATTGGTTCAGAAATAAAGCAGGGTGCGAAAAGTTCGCCCATGCTATAGGTATAAGCGCTATCCAATGCGGAGCGGAGCATCTTCGTTCTTCAAACAATCCACCCGTAATGGAACAAATCCCTAATAACTTAACTTATTACATAAAGTACCTATACATTTTTGTATTTTCATTCATATTTGATTTCAATATTGAATATATCCGATTAAGATTAACATTTCAAAGATATTTGGACCTCTCTTCACTTATTTTAGGTACCTACTTATAATTAAAAGTGCCCACTACATAATGCAAGCTTGGAATCAATTCATAATAAAACGACACAAGTACCTTAATTGATAATCCAGGTCCGGCACCTTTCATCCCTCGGAAATTGAAAAAATGAGCGATCGGGGCACTTTCTTTTCGACGCCGAACAATTACAATAATCACACCGTTTACCAGACATTTTACGGCAAAATATTCAATATAGTTCAATATAGATTTTAAACACACAGTATATCAGAAATCATTGGACGTAAATCTTTTGATAGCTAGGTATCACCCGGTATCACTGAACAGATGCTAAAGGATTCGCTAAATATTTCAAATTGATAAAACACGTTCGTTGCAATAGGATTATACTGCAGGCAGACTACTTATCAATTAGATATCTACAGCTAAAAGGGGTAAATACAATAGGTAAATTAGAAATGTCGTATACGCAAAATGTATTGAATTGTTTAACAAAAATGCCGCATCTACAATGTGCTTACTACAAATGCCGTATCTGCTATGTAGATACCGCGTTTTTATTCGCTAGCGCATTTTTACCTACGTTCATTCATATGGTATTACATTTCACATCGTTTACCGCATTCGTTGTGGATATTGGGAAACGCACCAAAGAAGACATAATACCTAATTAACCACCTTTTATTTATTTTTAAGTGGAATTTCCTACATAAATAGACATTTTTTATTTCCTTTAAATGTCCTTTAGATTTCTTCAGATTATTCTTGTCTCTTATTTCACTATAATTTCTTCAAATTTCCTCATATTTTCTCAAAACTTCCTGGAATTTCGTCCATTTCAAATATATATATTTCCCATGCTAATTTCCTATATGATGGATAAGAATTTTTCTCAGCTCAACCTCGCAACCAAAGTTAAATAAGTTAAACGTAATCGTAAATAACAAAAAGCGCATTTCCACATTAACAGTCCCTGTTGGAACAAAAATAGTTACTCAAAGGTGAGACAAAGATAGAAGATGAAATAAATTTGCTTTTACCTTTGATTTCAAAGCTTTGCTAATATCCAGAAAATAAATTTCTTACTTACAGTCTACATCTATTGCTTTATAGGTGACGCTAGTAGCGAATGTTACAGTTTTCAATAATAAGGAATGAGTTATTATAATTATAATAATTATAATAATTATAAATTATTAACCACATATTTAAGTAAAAATGAGTATATAGGCAACACACCTAACACCCGCATCGTGATCCATACAATCGGTACTTCTTTAGTAGTCTATATTCAAAGGTTCGGAGATAGGATCGTCCTCTTCGTCAGAATGGGTCCGTTGGTGATGTGGAGAATTCACACAGGTTTTGCCTTGGCAGACCTTACAGTTATTAAGCATCCCTCCCACAACCTTTCTTACACTGGCAGGAAATAAGCAAATGATATTATTCAATTATGGGTAAATTAAATTTCGTGTACAACACGCATTGAAAATGTCTTTTTTTCGTGAATTTGCACTTTGATTAATGAGGACTGAGTGTCCCTTTCAAAACTAGTTGTACAAATACCTATTGTGAAACACACATAAACGCTCAACAATAAAATTGTGGATCGATCCGCTAAACAGTTTTTTAATGAGTTAATAGTTAGCAGTGCTAAAGTTGAACTATTGAAAAAATTACCTCTGAAAGTTAAACTGAAGTGACTTGATTCCAAATTGTGGAGAGTAGTTTGCAAATTAAGTATAAATGGCCGGATTAACTTACGTACAACTAGAATTTAACTAAAGCAAACTAAATCTCAAAATCCCTAGCTACAATTATATTAGTCATGTATCCTCGGGATAAAACGAGCACCTTTGGATGGAGTAAATCGCCGACGACAAGCCCGTTTCAATAGTCGTTTTGTCAAAAAAACGGAATTGAACATTAAAATCATTTCGCAAACGTTTGAATAATTCGAATGGACCGTAAATTTAATTTGATATCTGCTGAATACAGATAACGCCATTGTTTCGCGAACATTTCGGCCTTTATAAACCTTTCAGGTGATGGAATATAATGTAGCATCTTCAGCAGACAATGGGTATTGTTGTATACATATACATTTATGCAAATATTTCGTATTAAACCCTTTTATACATATTAACTCAGTGCTCGTGTTGGAGAACTTCACGTAGTCTCAAAACTTTGCTAACGAGCGAAATTCTGATTCATTTTATGTTTTAATTTCGATTCGGTTTAATACGAGAGACAATAGTTGCAGTGTTGTACATGACAGGGGATTGATGCATGTTATCCACTGCGAACGTGGACAAACAATGAAATGCAATTTAGGGGCAAATGCGGTTATAATCGAGCGTTCCCTGTCACATTGAAAAGCTCACTACACAGAATTTCAGAATTTAAACCATACGACCGATCGATGACATGTTTCACAGCTATGCCAATTGTCAAGGAAATGATTAAGAAAACTCATGAGACCAACTTTGTATTCAGCATAAAATATCCAAGTATGCATAGATATATGAACTACAAAACATAGTAAATATGCACTATCTTAGTGCAATTCTGATACAATGGATATCAATGTGTATTATAGTATTATTGAAGTATTCCTTTAATGTTTCTTTAATCTTAAAAGACCTGTAAAGTGAATTCTCTGGTTTTCCGGTTGCGTAACTGCGAAGTGACCTTGTTTTATGGTGCAAAATCGTGCTCTGAGATTTCCTAATTCTGGTCACGTGCTCGACTGTTATACGTCAGTCCGGATCTCTCATAAAACTTAGCTTTGTTGCACTAACACTATTGAAAATAGGAAAATTACCAGCTCGAGCAACAAAAACAACACATATTTTCATTTATGTTTATCGTCAATTCTTTTTTTTTAATAAATTGAATTTTATATTTCAATTTATTCAAAAAATTTGTAATATAAACCGTAGTAGTATCTAAAAAAAGCACTTCATTACATTCTAAATTATCATTAAAAATATTTACAAATGCCGTTAGTGGAAACACTATTCAATTTAAAAGCTAAATCCAGTAAGCAATATATTGTCCGCAAAAAGGGGATCAAAGAATTCGCTAGTTCCATCTTGAACGCGTTACAATGTTGACAAAATAACCAGGATTAGTGGAAATATCTATGTGGACGATAAGTCCAATTTGTGTTGATCTAATGACTCGTCCTATAGGCCAGCGGTACGGTACCAAGAAAGAGCTTTAGGTCGCAAAAAACGCAGAGAGCTGCATTTTTCGTACGTTGTTAGGGAATGTCAGAGTGGTGTAAATCCAAGTTCCCAAATGAAAAAAGGCAAAAGTTTTGTTGGGCGAAAACCTCTACATTTGTTGAGTTATTTCACTTTTTGACCATTATCTCCTAAATGGGGCATTTTTGGTAAAAACATTCCGTAATCATTTTCAAAAAATTGAATTTTCTACAATTTGAACCCAATCGAAGCTCTGTAGGTCTTATAGATTCTCAGTTAGGCCCTTTCGAAGAATGGTAATTTTTTCTAAAAGTGCAAATGCCTTTCGTGAGGAATATCGGTCGAGAGAGGAAAGTCACGGGCAATAAGGTCATAATGAAGTTAATTACTTTCAATTTAAAGTCAAAACGAGGCCTATAGGTTCAATATTTCTCTTGTTATTTAAAGAAAAGGAAATGCGTGCTTATGAAAACTATGTAACTTCCTGCACTTCGGCTGAGTATCCATCAAAGACCACTGCTACATTCCTCCCATAGTGATGCAGTGTATCCTATCTCATTCCTTCTTCAGAAAACCGAGACATGGGATAAGGAGACAACTCGAAGTTCGAACGCTCTTTCAAGTTCAAGTCAAGCACAGACTCTGGAATATTGTGTTGGTCTGCCACAACTGTCTTCTCTTTTCTTTTAATAGACACCCATCTGAAATTTACCTTTCAATTAAATTTCGAATTTGACAGGGACCAATTCACAAAGTAATTACAAATTTCGCAAATCGTAATGTACGCCCACGTACTCTAAATCAATTAGAAAGGAAGGTTGTCATCGGAAAAACCGTTTTTCACTGAACTTTCGCAATTTGAAACCCAGTCGCGAAATTTTTAATCATTCGTCATCCATTTTCGACAGGTTGTAATCCGATCCAGTAACGCGTACTTTAATTTTCTTACGGGGAAAATGAGCATAGGAGACGTTAATGAAGGTTTTCCTTTTCAGATATCGCTGCAGGTGTCGTGGGTTAGACATAGAGATGTGCACCTTCTCACAGTCGGCCGATATACCTACACTAGCGACCAGAGATTTAGAGCGATCCATCAGCCACATTCAGAAGACTGGACCTTACAGATAAAATATCCGCAGCATAGGGACTCGGGAATTTACGAGTGCCAGGTGTCTTCCACTCCACATCTCAGTCACTACATCCACCTCACGGTTATAGGTAAGATTCAAAGGAATTTGCTCCGCGTAAGTCGAGCCAATCGCCTTATTTTACGTTAATCTCACCTTACCCTCGCGAGGCTCTCTCAAACTATATACAACTTCAATTAACTCGCGTTGGAAAATTAGTTTTAATTCGAACCACATCTTTTATCAGAAACGAAATGTAATAAAGTTTAATACATTTTTAACTGGATTGCCGTAACACACTCTTAAATTAATTCTCCCTAGAGTATCGAAGGATTACTTGCAAATCGAGCTGTAACTCCAAAGATCCATTTCTTAGCGTTAAATTAGATTTTCCGCCCTTTTACATTTTTGACTCGCCATACATAATTTATAAAAAACGTCTGTCCGTTTCAACTAATGAAGCTCTAATTTAGTACACAAATATGCCGTAAGTTAGGGAAGAAATGCCTAGATTTTGGTCTTTATTAGTGTATTTATTTACTGGAATAGTTTATGGAAATTCTCCAAATTACCCTTATAACTTAGGGTTTTGACGCCCAAAAAACGCACGAATTAATTGTCTTGAACCTTTTTATCGGTTGCAGCACCTCGTATGAACAAATTAGGTGCACAACTTTGTTTAATAAACTGATTTTTTAACTTAACTAGCCACTCCAACTATAGCGTTCTGTAATTTGCCTTCGTTATTAGTTATAATTTTATTTTATGCAAAAACGTTACTCCGATAATGGAACGAAACAAAAATACGTCAAAATTTAAAACCTCACTGTATGGGAGTAAAGGGCAAATCCGTCCAAACAATATTTTCAGTATATGTATTTAGTTGTATCCTCTTTTTGAATTCGGTAGCTGACATGTATGGCACCTGAGGCAAGAAAAACGGAAACTCATAACGAGATTAAAAAATTTTTGATCAGTTACACGTATAGTGAAGTAATTTCCGGGGACACACTGTATATGGACACGTTCAACTCAAGAAATTATCTTATCTTATCAAATCATTTAATAATAGCAAATTGCTGGCTCGTGGGGCCCTGGTCCGAATCCGGGTTCGGGCATGGATATTTGTAAATGTATAGTGGTTTGGGTTGGTAGAGCAGCCTTGGCTGAAACCCCGCCCACTCAAAAATAAAGGCGAATAAATAAATAAACAAAAAACAAATGACAAATTTGAAAAAAAACACACTTTTTTGAGCCCATTACACCAAAATTTTGATATTGCAGTGTACCTGGTGCATTTAGTGTACAGAACAAGATTATTCGCGCAATTCAGGATTTTATAGATTACTGTTTTGTATTAAATTGTCGTAGAAACTAATTGAAAATCGTGATGGTAATTTAAAAATAATAATTCCCTTTACAAACGTATTCAATTAACGAGAGTTTAATGTTATTACCGAACACAAAAAATGCTCGTGTCGGTAGAGTACACGCTTCTGTTAATCCAATTTTATAAAAATAATCAGCTGCAGCGGAACGAATTTCCACTTTTAGGGGTTTATCTGTAGTCAAAGGAGAAATATCGATGAATCTACCGAACTAGTTAAAGTAATAATTATGGAAGCATCCAATTTTAGGGGATTGTGTTGTGTCCCTTAGGTTTATATTGTAACGTGATTTATAAATTCGGGTTCGATTTATATCAATATTTACACAACAAAACTAAAACACTATAAAAACCGTACAATTTATATCGACTATTTATATCATACACTTCGCAATTTATATTTCCGCGCTCGATGTTTCATACGTACTCGATCTCGTTCGGTAGTAAACTAACTGCGATGTTCGGTCCGCAACCATTTATACACTCAAGCAATGTAAGTCCAGAACACTCGCGTAATTACCAAATACGTCGCAAACATTCCCACTATTGCGCGCCTAGAAAATTCCAGAGCGCCAAAGGCGACGTCATGTCTGGAGCGTTTCCGTTACAATATTTTATATTGTTGTCACCGTGCAATTCTTTGAGTGAACCTCAACAAAACCTCACGAATTTGGAACATCTGGCATATTTTCACGTAAGGTAAACTAATTCGCTTAAGTGATTGTGTTAATACAACTACGAAAAGCGCCACTTACAGTGCTGAATATGCATTAGGAATTGCAGAGAATTAATATCCATTCTGTGTAGTGAATGCTTGGGTGTAAGTAGGTAGCTGATATTAATGTTCGGATTTCTAAGTACCCATTAATTTGTAGCACCCTAGAAAATGTAATAATAATTACGACCGTTATCGGTCTAGGTAAACGTGACGTTATTAAAACGGTAGCAGAAGTGCAGGGGACTCATACATCAGAGCTCCTAAAATATTCTCCAAGGTCTCCAATTTCCTCTTTAGTGTTGTTCAAGTTAACCATCTTTTTCTCGTTTCCCCTTCATATTTTAACTCTAAATTGATTTAATGTACCCCTGAAGTTCCTTCCACCCTAACTTTCCACAGCAATTGTCTTTAGTTCTCCTCAAATTATTTTCATATTTACTTCCCAGATCTTCTTCAATGTACCAAGTTTATTTGAAGCTCTTCATATTCTTGCTGTCATAAAATTCGTGTCTTCTTGGGTTTCTTCTAAAGTCTAAAGTTTCTCTCGAGTTTGTATCAATACCTGTCTAGTTCATCTTCAACTTCCTTTAGTGTTCTCCTGAAGTTTTCCCCTTATCCCAATAATGAAGCAAAACAGCTGCTATCATTTCGGAAGAAATGGAAAAAGTACCTGTCCGACCATAAATACAATACCACTCATGTAATCAATAAACTTGCACGCCCCAAAAATTTAAAACTTACAAGGTAAATAGGGCTAACACCCTCATAATCCCTACAAACGCTAACTGTACCTGTCGGATTAGTACGCTAATGCTATTTTCCGCCTTAAACAGATTCCGTAAAGAGTTAAAAGAAAAGTTCACGTTAAATTTTGCATATACGTAAATAACAAACGCGAAATTGGTCACGAAAAGGCCGCCGCCGCCGCCGATTCAAATCTTGCATTCGAAATTTTCCGAGCTTCGTTAGTATTTCGAGTATGTAATCAGAGGAATCGATAGCTTGTAATAATAGATACTTTTACTCACGTAATACAGTTACAGTTCCGTATTTATAGGGGTAAATTACTATACCGATTCTGCTTGGTGGAAATCGGGTCAAAAATCTATACAAATAAATCGCGAGGGAGAGAGCGATTACGGCAATTCTCGGTCGAAATAAGTTGTTTTTCTGTACCTTTTCGGATACATGGACAGTCGCCTTATGAGTAATCTTGTAATGAGTCCCATTGTCTATTTGAATTGGTATAAAACTGAACGAGATTATTTGCATCATTGTCATACGGAAACGTTAGCAGTAAGTAGTACCTTGCCTGGAGACCCATGATTCTTAAATAGTAAAAAAATCAGGAAAATGACACATTACTGGCCTGTCGGTGATGACAGGGGTCATAGACATCACAGATGCGGCCGGTAAAGTGACAAGTGGCAGAAAACATGATCTGCTCTGCCTCTGTCATGGAAACTTCCTGACAGAAAGTAGGCATGAAAATGAAGGTTTTAGCTCGGGTTTTAGGATGATTTTGGGTAATAGTTATTTACATAAAAGTTAGGAAAATGATACATTACTGGCGAGGACATATTGAATGACGATTTGGAGCCAAGTAGTGTCATTTTAGTGACGAGTTTTGTATTAAATTTCTCCCGAAATCGTATTTTAATATAAAATTTCAATTTTTATATATAACTTTTGATTAATGTTAATCTGTCAGTGATAACAGGCGTCATTATTGACATTTACAAATGTCACACATTCGGCCGGAAAAGAGACGGTGCGGCCGGTAAAGTGACAAGCGGCAGGAAACGTAGTCTGCTCTGCCCCTAAACTAAAATTTCCTGACAGACAGTAGGCTTGAAAATGAAGGTTTCAGGACGATTTTGGGGTAAATATATTTCGGGTCTTTCCAAAGATTTCTAAAAGAAACCCTTGGTGGCTAGATTGCCAAGAAAATGAACAAAAGTAGTTTCGTGATAGCATTTCTTTGTAAAATTCTAAAAATATCTTCAAAAGGGTATTTACACACAAAATCTGAGGGTCAAAGGATTTTTCAATGAGGATAAGATGCTTTTTAAAAAGATTTTTAAGCAGATTCTGTTTCCCTTTTTTGCTGGAAACGTTATATTTCTCTGAATTTGATTACTAGTTTCCTGGTTAATAAACAATAACAATTCCAACGTGATATTTTCCTTAATATTCCAACTTTCCTCTCTTCCATTTAGTCCTAGAGGGTTTATAATAATAATGGGAAAATATCAAGCTACCCTTAAATTAATTCGCTATTACGAACGTGTATTTAAAATTAATAACTACATACACATTCACACCGACAATTTTACGGAATTAAATTCATATCTTCGTCGATAGGTCCTTAAGTAAATACTGTTGCGCCTCCTTTGTAAACACCGGAGGAAGCAGATTATTCCATGATGGTAGTGGTGTTTCCTTAAATACATGAGACCATGGTAAAGGGGGCTGCTTTTGCTAGAAACTCGCGCACCAACGGTACCTTCAGTTCTCCTTTACAGAAAAGAAAAAAATTAACGGTAAGTGTAATTACAAAAATTAAATTTAACAAAAGTAAGAAAAAGAAAAATCCAGCTGTAATTTTACAAGTTAAAATCGGTGCCGGCGGCGATAGTCGGAGAAAGGCGGTGGAACGGCGGTAGAAAACGGCGGAACGGGACTGCTTCGGGCACCAACAGACGTTTTCGGCTTCTCTTGTTTCTGAAGAAGACGCGGTGGGCTCCAGGTAACTCGGATGGAGAACGGAAAACAAAACTTAAAGCGCACAACAATTTCCCTAAGGGGTAACAGTAAATAATCGGTAGCGGTTTCTACGGGAACACCAAAGGCAAAAATGCAAATGGTACAAATGTTATGCTTCGGTTAAACTTACGTTACGGTTAACCACCAAATGCAAAATGCTAGGGGGAAACAAGTAAGTACCATTTTTGGCGTACACCAAATTAAATTTAATTCACGTTAA